GCCCTCTCCCCATCTCTTACTACTTCTCGGAGATGCGCTTGGTCTTGCGCTTGTGGTAGAGGGTCATGACGACGACCACAATGACGAGGACGCAGAGCAGGACGGCGGCGATGACGCCCACCACCACCACCGAGGCGGAGACCAGGTCCACCTTGCGCACCTCGTTGTCTGCAGGTGGGTGGGAGGAGAAGATCAGGGAGGGAAATGGGTGAGTGGGTGGACAGATGAGACCATGGGTGGGTGGATGCATGAATAAATGGACGGATGGATGGATCCTTGGATGGATCCATGGAGGGATGGATGGGTTGATGGATGGATGGAGGGATGGGTACATCCATGGACAGATGGATGGATGGATGCACCCATGGATGGACGCGTTCATGGGTGGATGGATGGGTTGATGGAGGGATGAGTACATCCACGGACAGATGGATGGATGGGTGGGTGGGTGGATGCACCCACCGATGGATGGGTTGATGGGTGGATGGAGGGGTGAATACACGACCACAATGACGAGGACGCAGAGCAGGACGGCGGCGATGACGCCCACCACCACCACCGAGGCGGAGACCAGGTCCACCTTGCGCACCTCGTTGTCTGCAGGTGGGTGGGAGGAGAAGATGGGGGAAACGGTGGATGGACAGATGAGAACATGGGTGGGTGGATGCGTGAATAAATGGAAGGATGGATGGATCCTTGGATGGATCCATGGAGGGATGGATGGGTTGATGGATGGATGGAGGGATGAGTACATCCATGGACAGATGGATGGATGGATGGATGCACCCATGGATGGATGGGTTCATGGGTGGATGGATGGGTTGATGGAGGGATGAGTACATCCACGGACGGATGGATGGATGCACCCATGGATGGACGGGTTCATGGGTGGATGGATGGGTTGATGGAGGGATGAGTACATCCACGGACAGATGGATGGATGGGTGGGTGGATGCACCCACCGATGGATGGGTTGATGGGTGGATGGAGGGGTGAGTACATCCATGGACAGATGGGTATACATCCATGGAGAGATGAGTAGATGGGTTCGTGGATGGGTTGATGAATGAATGAGTTTATGGGTGGATGGTTGGGTCCATGGATGGATGGGTGGATGCATCCACAGACGCATGGATGAGTCCACGGATGGATGGGTTGATGGGGAGGTGGATGGACGGGTGGTTAGATGAACAATGGGTGGAGAGATGGATGGACAGAGGGAGGCAGCAGGATGGATAAAGGAAGGACGGATGGACAGATGGGTGAGTGGACAGATGAGTAGACAGATGAGTGGATGGATGAGCAGATGGGTGGGTGAGCGGATGGATGAGTGGATGAGTGGGCGGATGGATGAGTAGATGGATGAGTAGATGGATGAGCAGACGGACGGGTGGATGAAGGGACAGACGGGTGGACGGCTGGGGCACACGGATAGTGAGAAGAGAAAGGGGGATGGATGGACGGACAGATGGACACGGGGAGGGTGGATGAAGAGACGGAGAGGGAGGTGGACGGGCAGAGCGGGGTGGGTGGTACATGGGGGGTGGACGGATGGACAGATGGATGGACGGATGGATGGGTGGGCAGACAGATGGACAAACGGGTGAAGAGACGGAAAGGAGCATAGGGGGGGGAGGACAGGTGAATGGATGGATGTAGGGAGAGTTTGGGGGGGGACACACAGACAGACGGATGGACAGACGGATG